ATTATGTGAATGCTCAATGGCACATGGTTACAAATTGTCCCACAAATCATCAAAAATGTAGCAATTCATCAAAATTTCATATGATTCATAAAGTACATGTATCAATGCATTTATTATTGTGAACTAAAAAAACACAATAATACAATTAAATGTACCAACAAAGACAAAACATATAAAATAAAAATCATTAATAATTATTATAAATATTACTGACCTGAAATAAAAATTAGACGATAGATCAACATTTTGAAATATTTTAACGTATTTTGATTCATCAGGATGAGCTGGTCTACCAGTAGGAGCTGACAGACAGTGCATGGCAGTATCTTCAATCTTATACAATATATGACCACCAATATTAGCAACACTGTGGGGGAGGAGGGGTGGAGCCTGTTGCCATGGTAATGATAATAACTCACAGTTTTCATTTGGTGATGAGAATAATGTAATAGCCTTCAAGGAATCTGATAAAACCTAAAATAATGAAGAAATTATAATAATAGTTTCATTAAAAGGGAACTTTTAGTATTAAGAATGAATAACGATGTAATAAATAAATAAATAAAAATTGGTATTTTTCATACATGTATATGTACATGTACTAGTCCTTTTATAATACAGTCCGGGATATGGTTGTACATGTACATGTACTCCTTTAAGAGTCTTTTTAGACAGTTGCAGTTTAAAAAATAAAATTTAATGTCAAATTATTAGGGCGAGCAAAAGCGAGCCCCACATAGTCGAGTTGAGTATGTTTGTCTGTTTGTTTGTACACGTACGTCATTCCTATTTATACGTTTATAAAAAATAACAATTACACATTTTAAAATGATAATTTTGATAATTACGGTACCACGTGCAAAAACAAAGAGCAACTTCAGTAATCACTGGACTAGAGGAGTTCAAGAGTATTCAAAAAACAAGAGAAGCTGAAGCTTAAAGCATGAGTAATTCACAAGAAGATGCTCGTGAAGCTCGTCGACTTCTTCGTAACAAGCGTGAGAAGGAGCAAGACTGAGGAGGAGAAAAGAGCGAGGAGGTCCAATAGAAATGCTAGAGATAGGTCTTTTCACACCCAAAGACAACAAATGGAGTCTCCTTCTGGCTTCTGAGATCAACTATCTTCCATCCCAGACATTGCACGTGTATACACGATACATGAGTATTTAGACGAAAAACAGGTCTTCTAGTACATACAAGTATATACAAGAACCAAAAATAAGTAGACGGAGTCTGAGGAGACGATTTTCATGTATTTATATTAACTATTAATAATTAAAGGGTGTGTCCACGTAGCAGTCAAAATGGCAGTTAGTTTCCTTAACCACGGATCTTTGATGGTCTTTTTAGTCCATCTAGCAATAGCAGATGATGAAAACAGCAGTAGAAAAGGTGATGAAGACATTAGCCTTTCAATGATTCAACATTTAAGTGCAGGATACATGAAAAGTAAACGAAAAATTACCAAAATATAGATGAATTTGGGAAGCAATAAGTAAATGTACATACACGAAAATTTGCCAATGAATACAAGTACATACAGGACCTGCTTTTTTCAAAATACAAGTAAATACAAGTACACGAAAATTCCAGTAGACGTGCAATGTCTGTTCCATCCTAGATCTATATAACTGCAGAGATTCTTCACTCAAAGCTAGAAGCTATGAAATTCCTTCCATGCAAATTCTGCATTAGTGCATCAAAGTTCTGCATTAGTGCATTGACATCAACATTCAAGGTTTAATAGCCACTACATCATTGTCTATATAGACATTGTATATTGCTAATCGAAATGTTAATCGTTTTGCTCGCCCCTTAATGTTTTACATTCGCCTAGTCTATTACAAATTTTCATATTAATATTACTGTACATGTAATTAAACTGCTTGTATAAGTCTCTTTTTAAACACTTACCAACAATCCCAAAAGCTGATGCCACTTGCTGTAGTCCTCCTTTATAACGAGTGGTGAAGTTCTGATTGGCACTCTCTAACATTGTAAGGGTCTCTTGAACCTTAACAGATAATCATACACTATCAATAATGACCGTCTCTCCCTCTGCCTCATTTTGTTGATATTCTTTCTCATCTTCTCTGGTCCTCTCTTAGCTGATACTCTTCAAGTTTCCTCTTCTCTAACTCCTGCCAGTACCCCGGGTCAAGGCTACTCCTGAACGGGAGGAACTGGTACACCTTTAGAACTTTCACCCTCACAGTACAACTGGCAGCCATTTTCGTCCTAGCAACAACTGTGACG